TCATAGTGTGTATATCATTGTGTGTATATCATAGTGTGTATATCATTTGTGTGTATATCATAGTGTGTATATCATAATGTGTTTGTCAGTGTGTGTATGTCAGTGTGTGTACATCAGTGTGTGTATATCATTGTGTGTGTGTGTGTGATTTGTGGGATATTGTTTCATTGATGGAGCACTGATTTAGGTCCAGTAACAGTTTCCAGTTCCGGTTCTGGTCGGTGTTGTGTTGTGTTGGTAAACGTCAGTCAGAAGAGTCGTGTGGTTCTGTCTGCTGGTTTGAACTTTACGTAAGGGTTTAATCTAAAGCCTTTTGTTAACTTGGCTTTGTGTTTTATAAGCTTGAAATATTTTTTATACTTTGTGCGAGTGTTTCAGATTTCTTGAAGTTTATCTTTATTTCCACTGCAGAAGTCAGGGCTGCAGCCAGGTGCTGATATGCCTAAATACTAAAGTCTGAGTGACTTCAGGCCTCGTGGTGCTTGTGTGCATTAGTTAATTAGTTGGCAGACGTCTTTGGCATTAAAAATGGTTCATCTGATTCAGGATCTGCTTTAAATGAAGCCACTTAAAGTCAGCATTAGGCTGCAGGAGGAACCTAAGAAACAACTCCCTGTTTCATCATTTCAGCTGCGTAAAATGATCCTACTTTTATTTTTTTTCTACACTGTGATGAGGCACCGTCTTTCAACAGAATCAAAACAGCGGCGTTGGTTAAGAAGGCGGCAGCAGAGTTTCATCGAAGCAGCTGATCTGTTCTTGGGGGAGGTATACAGGAGGACTGGACCGCTGAAGAGAAGTCGACACTAACGTGAAAGTTGGCGCTGATATCGAATTGATGTGGCTTGAAACAGACTTTTATTTTTGTTTAAAGTTCTTTTTATTTCAGTCTTTTTATGTTTTTCTTTAAAATGACGTCGGACATCATTTCTGTGTTCTCAAATTAGATTTAAAACCCAGAGAGACGAGAGTTTTGTGGTTATTTGTAGAAAACAGAAATTCGATGCTACAATATCAAAAACTGAACCTTGGACAATTAACAGTTAAAGTGAGAGTTCAGCTCTTTTGAAGTGGGGTTCTGTAAAGTGTATGACTAAATGTTTACTGATTAGCATCTTGTTTTAAGGTTTTCAATGCCCCTCCACCATCAAACCAGGTCTCAAACGAGAGTAGCGTGTTTTAGCAGAACAGGGACTAAAGGAACTCATTTATGAAGCAAATTACCAGAATGGGTCAAAAAATGGGAAGATTATTTAATTTTGAATAACTTAAATTTTAGCTATGAGCAAATCAGTTGTAGTTACTCATAAATAAACCTGTTTTAACTTTCCAGGTGATGTTTATTGTGCCTTTCTTTAATTGTTATATTTGTTTTGTGGGTGAAGTTTATGAATTATGTTTATATTTCTTCTACCTGCCTAAAGACAAAAGATGAATTTTGCTGTTATTTACAGCACATTTATATTGTTGTGTAAGGCAAACATATTCATGAAAGTTCACTTCCCTATTACATAAATAAATTAAATCAAACGATCAGTATCTTACCTGCTGTAGAAAGATCTTTGAACTACCTCAGTTTGGAAGAAAGGTGATTAGTTCTGACAGGACTGACGAGCTAACGTCTCGTGCATGCAGGGCCAAGACCAAAGTAGTTGTTGATATTTTTTAATAACTCCAGTATTTAAAATTTCACTACAGTTTTTAAAAAGTAACTATTTTACAAACATTACCCAGTTTGTATTAAAAGGTCGAGATAATTTAATTTATTTATCTCAAACCTGTGTGATCTCAGTGGACAAGAGATTTTATTTTTACTTGCAATAAAATGTAGAGAATTTAACTGCTTTGATAAACATGTCACTTTGGAATTTAAATAAAAATGAGATTACTTTGGCCATTTTATCAGGTTAGAAACACTTTTATTAAGGTTTTAGAAGAAGTGTTTATCAAAATGCACCAACTGAAATATTTTAACCAGAGCTGAAACAGCCCTAAATTACCAGATCCACTCCACTTACCATTAAAGATTAACATTTAACTTACTCGTAATTTAGTTAATTTTTGTTATTTTTTGATTGTTACTTAAATATATCAAGGTAGAGTCAGGTTCCCAGGACTGGGGTCCTTTGTTAAAACATATAGTCTTTTATCCAAAAGACTTCTTCAGTCTGAGGTGCTGCAACAAACCCAGTCTTATTAAATAGCACCTTCTCATAGTGGATCAACCAGTTCTCTTCTCATCAGCAACATCTCATCCATCATATGAATTATATCTTGTCCTCAGTGAAACGTCCCCTTGGCGGTCCCAAGAACTTCCAGGAACCTTTCATGGAGACTTCACAGCGACCAGGTGAAACATCCAAGAAGGACCGGGGGCATCGAAAACCTGAGCCATCGCAACACAAAGGTAGTTGGTTGTGTTTTCATCTGAACGTATCATAGGAACAGAGCAATCTGATCATGATTTCTGTTAACTTTGTTCAGACACGACACATCCAAGATCTTCATCTCCACCAGAGAATGGGCCGAGGCCTCCTGTAGAAAAACAAAAAAGTTTTTCTCATTCTGACAAGTCATCAAACTGTTCAAGCCGAGGACCTCAGGAGCCACTGAGTGGAGGACATTACCAGAGGATCAACACTTTCCCAGGTCGCTATGATCCAGAGTGCTCCCACAAACAATGGGAAAGAGGAGGCCAAAGTAAGTCCAAGTCAACTTGGAGACCCATTCGGGAAGTACTGAATGTGGACACGGTCCTGAACGAACTGGAGCAGCGGCGTCAGCAGCAACAAGAGAGCACACAATGCAGCAAGTCCTCGCCCAAGGAGAGAGTGCGCACCGAACATGACAGAGACCGCGAGCGGGAGCACGGTCGGACCAGAGAGAGCCGCAAACAGAAGTGCTTGATGACGATTTACGAGGACGAGCAGCGCCACGAGACCGAGAGTCACAGCTCTGTCGAGTCCGAGAGCAGAACCGGCCAGCAGAGATGCAGCAAACTCAAAGGTTGTCCCAAGACTCTGCTGCGCAGTGATACCTGGACCATTCAGAGAACTGAATCTGGCTACGAGAGCAGTGATCGGCTCAGCAGTGGCTCCACCAATCCTGACTCACCTGGGGTCGATGGCTCAGGTATTAAACCAGACCTGAAGCTAACATCTGAGCTACAACTGCAAAGGTAGGAAACCAATCTTGTAGCTCTTTAATGAACTGATTTATTCAGACAAATGGAACTCAGACTTATAAACACAAACATTCTACTGTTGTATACTAAACTACCCAATGGAAACTTTCTCTGTTTCAATTCACCTTTATTTAACTAGGCATAAACACTAAGAACAAATTCTTATTTGCAGTGCTGGCCTGGCAAGCACCAGCAGGGACTTGTAGGGTCATGGGAAGGGAAGTAAGGCAAAACCATGAAATATAGAAGTCAAGTCAAATACAAGCAACAAATTACTTTACCAACAATTCATTGTCAAAGTTAAACGACAACCAACCACTATCTCTTGTGCCGGTCGCAAGCCCAGGTAAATGGTGTAAAACACTTTTACCACAACTATAATGCAAGTTCATCAAAGTGAAACCATACCAGATCTGTCGAGGCCCGGGTTAACAACGACCACCACTGGTGGTATTGACAAACAGGGTGTCAACAGAAATTGTTCTACTGTTAGTCAAAGACCACGAGGAGGGAAACATGTCAGGAGACAGATGGAGAAGAGGAACGTCAAGAATGTAGGACTGAGGATTGTAACTCTAAATGTGGGGACAATGACAGGCAAAAGTAGAGAGCGGGCTGACATGATGCAGAGAAGGAAGGTAGATGTTTTATGTGTCCAAGAGACCAAGTGAAGGAGCAGCAAGGCTTGCAGCACTGGAGCTGGGTTTTTAACTGTTTTACCAAGGTGTGGATAGAAAGAGAAAGGGAGGTGATCCTGAAGGAGGAGTTATCAAAAAACGTAGTAGAGGTGAAGAGTGTCAGATAGGGTGATGTGTCTGAAGATCGAAGTAGAAGGTCTGCTGCTAAACATTGTCAGTGGTTATGCTCCACAGGATGGATGTGATGTGGAGGAAAGATACATTTTGGAAGGATCTGGATGGAGTGATAGAAAGTATTCTCAGAGAGGAGAAAGTGGTGATCGGAGCAGACCTGAATGGACATGTTGGTGAAGAAAACAGAGGGGATGAGGAAGTAATGGACAGGTTTGGTGTCAATGAAATAAACCAGGAAGGACAGATGGTGGTGGATTTTGCCAAGAGAATGAAAATGGCTATAGTCAACACTTATTTACAAAACAGGAAGGAACATAGTGACCTATAAGAGGGGAGGTAAGAGTACACGTACACTACAGTCTGTGTAGAAGAGAAAACTTGATGGAGATTGGGGACTGTAAGGTTGTGGCAGGGGAGAGTGTGGTGTTGTAAAGAAGAGGAAAAGAGGAAAATCAGAGAAGAAGATGAAATGGTAAAAGCTGAGAAAAGAAGAATGTTGTGAGAAATTCAGAGAGGAGCTGTTAAAGTCTCTAAAGAGCTTCCAAATGACTTGGCAACTACAGCAACAACAATTAGAGAGACAGGTAGGATGATACTTGGTGTGTCATCATCTGGACAGAGAATGGATGATAAAGAAACCTGGTGGTGGAATTGTGAAACTATTCAAAGAAAGATGTTAGCCAAAAAGAAATATGACAGTGAGAGGACTGAAGAGAAGAGATGAGGAGATGCAATGTAGAGCAAAGAGGGAGGTAGCAAAGGCAAAGCAAAAGGCGTATGATGAGTTGTATCAATCAACCTTTATTTATACAGGTAAATCCCATTGAGCCTCGAGGACTCATTTACAAGAGAGACCTGAAAATTGTATGGGAGTGCTGGGTTGTATTGTACCCTCCTTGTATGGGAGGCTGGACACTAAAGAAGGCGAGAAAGACTTGTGCTGATTGGCAAAACTGGGGGATCAGGCTGGAAAGGATGTGCAGCAGGTTATGTTTGTTAAAGATAGGAATGGGAATGTTCTAACAAGTGAGGAGAGCATGATGGGAAGATGGAAGGAGTACTTTGAGGAGCTAATGAGTGAAGAGAATGAAAGAGAAAGAAGAGTAGATGTCAAAGAAACAGTGGACCATGAACTGGGAAAGATCAGTGGGGGTGAAGTCCGGAACTCTCTGAAAAGAAAGAAGAAGGGGAAGGCAGTAGGACCTGACGAGATACCAGTGGAGGTTTGGAAATGTCTTGGAAAGATGGCAGTGAGGTTTTTGACTCAAAGATTCAGTGGCATATCTGAGGGTGAAAAAAATGCCTGAGGAATGGATAAGAAGTGTGCTGTTGGCCATTTTTTAAAACAAGGGCAATTTACAGAGTTGTAGCAACTACAGGGAATTAAGTTGAGTCACACAATGAAGATCTGGGAGAGAGTTGTGGAAGCTAGACTTAGACGAGAGGTGACTATTTGTCAGCAGCAGTATGGTTTGATCCAAGAAAGAGCACATATGCCATCTTTGCTTTAAGGATGCTGATGGAGAAGTGCATAGATGGTCAGAAAGAACTCTGTATCTTTGTGGATTTAGAAAAATATATGGCAGGATGCCAAGGGAGGAGGTGTGGTATTGCATGAGGAAATCTGGAGTGGCAGAGAAGTATGTTAGTCTTGTACAGGACATGTATGAGGACAGCAGGACAGTGGTGAGATGTGCTGTAGGAGTGACAGATAGCTTCAAGGTGGAGGTGGGATTGCATCAAGGATCGGCTCTGAGCCCCTTCTTGTTTGCTCTGCTGATGGACCGACTAACAGATGAGGTCAAGCAGGAATCCCCGTGAAATATGATGTTTGCAGATGACATTATGATCTGTGGTGAGAACAGTGAACAGGTGGAAAAGAACTTGGAGAGGTGGAGGTATGAACTTGAAAGAAGAGGAATGAAAGTCAGCCATAGTAAGACACAGTACAGTAGTCCCTGGCTACTTCATGGTTCGTTTATCGCGGACTCACTCTATCGCAGTTGTTCAAAATAAGATTGGACATGGCACACAAATGGCTGATGAATGAGCTGTATGATAAGCATGGAATTTTTATTTAAAATAAGTTATTTTAAATTATTTTAGCATCTGCTGCACATTTGTTATGCCAGCATATATATATATATATATATATATATATATATATATATTTATCTATATATATATATATATATATATATATATGTATGCCCCCTCGACCCAGTGCAGGTGGTGGGAGACAGAAGGACTCTAGCTAATATAACATAATTGCTGGACAACGTCTCCCACTCCATGCATGAAGCTGCTGTTGAACTGGACAGCTCGTTCAGTGACAGATTACTGCATCCTAAATGCACAAAGGAGCGTTACCGCAGGTCCTTCCTCCCAGCAGCTGTTAGACTCTATAACTATCACTGCTCCCAACAAACTCAATAAGTATTAAATACATGCTGACCTCTGCTAAAACATACACTCTGCATGCAATACTGTACTGTAAATAGTCTGTCATTCTCAATGTTCCAACACATACTGAACACTATTATTGATATTGTTTATCTTTATATATTGTTTTTAACATTTAGGAACTTTTGTGTGAAACTTTTTACAGTTTTTGTTGCTGCTGTTACACTTGAATTTCCCATCCGTGGGACAATAAAGGCCATTTTAATTCTATATAATAAAATAAACTACAAATTTGTACTACTTACTACTTGTCTTAATTATTCCTACTTCAGGATTTTTCACTTATCATGTGGCTTCAGGATACGGATCCCCGCGATAAATGAGGGACTACTGTACATGTGTGTGAATGAAAGAGGTGGGTGGAACAGTGAAGCTACAAGGAGTAGAGGTCACAAATGTGCAGGACTTCAAGTACTTGGGGTCCACTGTCCAGGAAAATGGGAAGTTTGGTAAAGAGGTGAAAAAGAGAGTCCAGGCAGGATGGAGTGCATGGAGAAAAGTTTCAGGAGTGATTTGTGACAAAAGGGTGTCAGCAAAGGCCAGAGAAAAAGTTTACCAGATAGTGGTGAGACCAGCTATGTTTTATGGTGTGGAGACAGTTGCAAAAAAACCAAGAGAAATAACTGGAAATGGCATAAATAAAGATGTTGAGGTTCTCCTTAGGAGTGACAAGGACAGATAAGATTAGGAATGAGATCATCAGAGGTACAGCACAGGTTGAACAACTGGGAAATAAAGTTAGAGAGACCAGATTGAGATGGTTTTGGACATGACCGGAGGACCAGGGACCGAAGAAGTAGAGAAGGCCATTTAAAAAGAGAGCAGAGGTGACAATGATGTGTTCTATAAGGAGCATTTGTAACAAAGTGAAAGGCAGAGTGATAAATTGTATCCAGCTTACGAAGGACGCACTTACAAGCATGTCTGTAAATTATGTCTCCATAATCCAACAGAGGAAGAGTGGAATTTTTTGACTGGTGTGTGAAGCAGTGGTGGAACCCTCAAGTCCTTCTGTGCCTTCAGAGAAGGCCTAAGAATTGAGCAAATATGAAATCTTACATTTAAATGTTTAATTAACTATGTATTTTGTCTAAAATAAATATTTTCAGTGTATATTTTCTTGTTTTTTTTTTTTACAAATTTGTCTTATTTTCTGTAAACTACTTTGCAGTTGAGAAAAAAAAAAATTAACTCCTGAAAATCCAGTTATCCAATCACAGTTTTAATTTCTGTCCCTGGGCAGAAACATGTTTGAAGCTTCTCTCTGATTGGTCCGGACTTCAGTGTCAGCAGAGAAGGCTGAGCTCATCAGAGTCTCTGCAGGAGGAGTTTGTTTAATGACTTAACCAATCAGATTACTGGTGTGGAGTGGGCGGGGCCAAAACACAGGGCTTCTGGGTAATGTTGGGCGAAAACTGGGTGGATTACAGGTCCTTCTCAAAAAATTAGCATATTGTGATAAAGGTCATTATTTTCCATAATGTAATGATAAAAACGAAACTTTCATATATTTCAGATTCATTGCACACCAACTGAAATATTTCAGGTCTTTAATTGTTTTAATACTGATGATTATGGCATACAGCTCATGAAAACCCAAAATGCCTGTCCCAAAAAATTAGCATAT